ATGTGGGCCCGGCCCAGCAGCACCAGCCCCTCCTCGCCCCCAGCTTGTTAGAAAAGCCACTTCTCATCCCCCCCCCCCCCCCAAAGTTAAAACCCCCCCTACTAAAACACCCCCTGGGGGGGTCCAAAAGAGACCGCCCCGCACCACCCCCCCCGCCCAAAAACCGGGGGGCGGCGGCTCCACAACACAACGCTGGGTAGGGGAGGAGAAAGCCCAAAAAGCCTGAGAACACACAGCCTGTAGAGGTGGCATTTGAATATAGCCTCTCAGAGACCACTGTCCTTCCAGTTCCTGGGCCCTCAGCCTTCCCTCCCTTGCTGCATTTCCCATCTTGTGTAGGTTTCAACAGATGAGAAGTCTATTTCCCCTTCTCCCCTCAATCCCATGAGCCAATGGACTCTTGAGGGCAGAGGCTGGGCTACTACTAGTCACAGCTTTTACGTCTGTTAACTCAGCCCTCTCACTTGGAGGCTAGGGGGTACAGAGGACCACCTGCATTGTTTGAAAAAATGCAGATTCCTGGGCCCTTCCAGTCCTACAGAGCCAGAGCCTCTGGGATGGGGCCCAGACACCAGCAACTTCCCAAGGGTCTTTCCCGCCCACTAAGATTGGAGAGCAGGTGCCCGGAGTTGCAATGCCTATGTTACAGTTGAGGGCAACAAGGCCCAGAGATTTTTTCGTTCCTGTCCCAAGGTGGGGACCTGGCCGACTGGCACCCCGGCTGGGGAGTCAGGCAGTTTGGGTGCCAGGCCCTGCTCCTCTCCTTCCGAGCCTAGAGCCACACCCAGCCCTGGAGCAGGTTAGGGAGTGCAGAACACAGACTGCTGTGCGCCGCTTGCTAGATAAAAATGGTTTTTATATTTTTAAATGGTTGGGGAAAAAGTCAGAAGAAAAATATCTCGTGTTCTATGAAAATTATGTCCGGTTCCAATTCCAGTGTCCGTAAATGTTTACTGGAACATAGCCACGCTCATCTGCTTCCGTGTTGTTCGTGGCTGTTTTCCCGCCGCACAGGCAGAGTGGAGTGGTCACGAGAGAGACTGCGTGGCCCACGAAGCCTAAAATAGTTCCTGTCTGGCCCTTTACAGGAAAAGCGTGGCAACCTCTGGTCCAGAGCAGTGATTCTCAAACTTCAGCTGCATCCAAATCACCACCCGGAGGGCTTGTTAAAACACAGATCGCAGGGTCGTGTCCCCAGGGTTTCCGACTCAGCCAGTCTGGCACGGAGCCTGAGAACCTGCATTTCTGACAAGGTCTTGGATGCCTGCACCACACCTTGGGGACCCTGGTTTAGAAGGACTTGGGTCTTCAAAGCTGATGCTGAGCCTACCCTGGAAGCTCACAGCCCACCCCGGGAGTGGAATGGACTCGGGGAGAAGAGAGCGGGGACCAACAAGCTCCCACCCTCCAGGCCCCATCTCATCCACCCGTCCACCAGCCCCTCTTCCCGGCTGTCTTTCTCCTGGTGTCTGCTCCCCCCTGGCGGCGGCAAGCCCGGACCTCGCCTGGCAGTGCAGCCTTTATTGCCCAGCCCTCCGTTTGGAAATGCATTTCAAAGCCTTCCAAGTTTGCACATCCTTTCCCAGAGGGAGTCCACTTATAGAATTTAATCCAAGAAAGGAATCGAGGATGTGTAGCAGGATGTTCACGGCTGCGTTGTTTGTTTGTAAGGCGGTAAAGTAGGGGCAGCCACACGGCAGGGTCACACAGCTAGTAAAAAGCCCAGGCAGGACTCGAAGTTGGGTCTGTCTGACTCAGGAGCCAGTGACTCAACTGCCTCACTACACAGCCCCGCGGGCGCCCCCTGCCGGCCACAGGAAGCAGTGATCGAGAGCATGGACTCCAGCGCGGAGCTGCCTCGTGTTGGATCCTTGTCTTGTTACTTACTAGCTGTGTAACATCAGGCGAGTCACGTAACTACTCTGTCTCAGTGTTTCCATCTATGGAAGGGGAACAAAACTGTAAAGGTTACATGGGTTAACACGAGTCCTTAGCCCTGCACACTGGGTGACCTGTGATTATTATTACTTAAGTCCCTGCCTTCCTCCTTCTTTACCCTTTACCCTCCTTTCCTCTTCTTCACTGGCTCAAAGCATTGTGGGTCACTGGGAGGGGCACGATGATCAGGACGAACTGGGGCAGAGGTGGGGAAGCTCGGACGGGACACTGCAGCCAGGGGGTGGCATTTAGTGGGGCTCACCCACCCTGCTCTGAAATCTGCCCACGGGCTGGCTGGGCCCCTGTAGTCTGGGCAACAGGTCACCGAGCTTAACGCTCAGTTAAATAGACCTGGATCTGAATCCCGGATCTTCTGTGTGACTCGGCCAAGTAACATCCCCACCCTGGGCCTCATTAGTCTTACCTGTAGAGTGGGAGCAATCAGATTCCAGGAGGGCTTCTTAAAGTGTGCTGCCCGGGCGGGGCAGCAGCAGCAGCAGCAGCATCACCGGGCAGCTCAGGAAATGCAAATACCCACACGTCCTCCTGGTGGCTGTGGGGCTGCTGAGTCTGAGAGCGGCCGGAGAGAGTACCTACTCCTCGGGCTTGTTGCGACTGTTCCTGGGGAGATCAGTTGCCCGGCTCAGCAATCCTGAGCTGCTACCGTAGTTACAGGCCCTCTGCTTCTGGGCCTCCGCTGATTGTGCCCCAGAGTGTCCTTGCTCCGAAGACGACCAATCAGATCCCCTCTCCTGGGATCTGGAAACTGAATGTCACTTCCTTGAGGGGCAGGGGCTAACCCAATGGTTGAGGAATCGTTTGGGGGGGGGTGCAACCATTTTCTCCACTTGCCCTAACAGCTGAAAGGACTGATCTGTAGCGAGAGGCGCAGAGACCAGCTGTCTCAGAGGGAACATGGCCGCCCATGTCTGGGCATCCATGTCTGGACCCCATGTCCACTGAGATTGGGCTGTCCCACCTGCTCCTGGGTCCTGTAGGACACCTTTGGTCCACCCTCCTTTCCTCCTGAGTTAGTTCAAGATGATTTCTGTCCCTTGCAATTGAAAGGGCCCTGTCATGTTGAGAGCTGGGAGTCAGGGTCAAGGTGAGTGTACGAAGGTCAAGCATCACAGGCCTGATGGGACACTCTTCCCTTCATTCTCCTGCCTAACTACTAGCTCAGCCAGAAGGTCTGAGTTTCAACCCCATTTCACTGAGTATTAGAAGGGGGAAAAGGGGGGAAAGAGGCGTCTGGGCAGTGAAAGAAAGGCCAGGTCCTGAGATCTGAGGTGGGTCGCCTCTGGGTTTCCTGCTTATTTTTGGTCCCAGTTCCTGTAATGGGACTTCAGTCATCTCCCCAGATAGTTGTAAAGGCGAACCCTCCCCACTGGCTGGGAAAGCGCCATAATAAGGTAAAGGGTTTAGACACAGTGTCTATGTAGAGCAAGGCATGTTTGATTCTATGGGCATGGCTGAACCTGCAGCCAGAGCCCTGGGTTTCTGCAGACCCGGAAGCTTGTGGGAAGGTACCGATGGGCACTGTGAAGTGTCCTGCCTGGGGTGGGGGCTTTGGTGGAGGAAAGGCTGCAGGGTCAGGGTTTTGGGGTTAGGAGTCGTGAGTGTAGGTCCTGCAGGAGAGCCAGCCGCTTGAAGCAGCACTAGAGACAGACTGACTTTCTGTGGTGGCCAGCTTTGCTTGGGTCCTTGCGGTGAAATGGGATGCCCTGTGTGGGCTCAACACCAGCAGTCAGGTTTGTTCCTGGGGTGAAATGTAGCACCGTATAGGCAGATTCAACCACAGAGGCTCAGAACTGTGAACTCCTGGGATCCAATGGGATCAGGGGAGGGGCCGGGAGACTGTGAACAGGGGGCTGTAGAAGGGTGGCAAGGAGATGGTAGGTATGTCTATAGGTTTAGCAAGAGCTTTGAGAAAAACAGAAGCAGACTCCAGTCCCTACTGTGCACCTGTCAGCTGTGTGGCTCTGGGCAGATCACTTGCCCTCTCTGAGCCTCAGATTCTTATCTGTAAAATAGAGATAATACTATGTATCTGCAAGGACTTGTGGTGGGAACTGAATGGGCTAATGTTCATAAAGCCCTAGGTGCACAGTAACTCAATTGTGATGTGGCTACTGTTATTATAACTATCAGTACTAGATGCAAAGACCAGGAAGAGTTTGTATTAAAACTCAGAGGAGGTGTGGCTTGAATGACCTTTCAGGGATGGTTAGGCGGGCAGAGTGGAAGGTGGGTAGTGTGAGTGAGGCCACCGAGGCAGGAGCCCTGGGGTTTGCCTGCAAGACAGAAAGGGCTCGGTTGGTCTGGACTGGATACTTTCTTTGACCAAAAGAGAGGAAGGCCAACCCACAGAGAGCCTTGAAGGCCGGGCTCATGGGCTGGGACCGTATCCAGCTGGCAGTGGAGTGGCATTTGTTCTCATTGGATGGCGGGGCGTGTGCCAGCCTGGGAAGATATCAGGAAGGGACCACAAGGGGAGACTCAAAAGGGGAAGGGTCTTGGCTCCAGGTCAGTTAAGACGGTGGAGGGGGGCTCCTTGATCTCTTGGGTGGGGATATGTGACATTATAAACAGAAAACCCCTTTCATCGCTGGCCTAGACATACTGTTTTGAAAGAGTTCTCAGGTCATCGGTAGGCAGGCCTGCCCTTGAGCCCCAGCCCTGCTGTGGGGTTGAGGACAACCTCTTCTTCCCTCCAATCCTCAGTTTTCTCCTCTGTAAACTGGGCACAGTGCAACATGTCTCCCAGGATGACTGTGGGGATTAATGAGAGAATGAGGAAAGAGTCTAGCTCAGTGCTTAGAACATAGTAGGCACTCAACAGATGGTCTTCCCTCTGACCTCCTATTGCGTGGCTGTCATGGAGCTGGACACAGAGTCTGGCCCTCCAGACATCTTCAGTTAGATAGAGCTCCTGTTGTCAGAGGTCATTCATTCATTCACTCACTCATCATTCAGTCCTTCGACTAGCCTTCAAGCTTAATTTCTGAGCACCTATCATGTGCCAGGTGCTGGGACACAGAGTTGAATTAGACCACTGCCCCTTGGTTGGGAAGAGTTTATTTACTCCTTCATTCAGCACACCCATGGAGACTGGCTGTGAGCTTTGGCCGGGCAGAGGTGGTGTTGGGGGTAGAGTGAGCTTTGTTGGTGGGCGAGGGGCGGGGAGGGGGATGACTCAGCCCCACAGTCACACCTCTGGGTTCGGGAAGAGCAGGAACCCAGAGAAGATGGTGTTGGCACCTTCCATGCCCAGCAGGGAGTTCTTTTCGGTGGCCTGCAAGAAGACGTTCTCCCCCTCCTCCAGCTTGAGGACGATGCCGCCCGTGGTGACCTGGAAGGTGCTCTGGACGTAGTCACAGAAAGTGACCACCTTCTGCGCGCGGTCACGACCCCGCATGAGGTTCACGCACAGGTTCCCTCGTGAGCTGGCGTGGAAGGTGAAGTAGTAGAGGCCGGGCACCCTGCAGACGAACTTGCCGCTGCGGGTTTCGTAGTTGTTGTTCACATTGGTGATCACGTGGTCGAAGCGGATGGTCTGGTCCTTCCGCAGAGGGGTGTTGATGGTCCGTGTGAGAGAGAAGGCGATTTTCTGCGTGGCCCTGTAGTCTCCCGATTCGCCCTTGGGGCCACGGCCTCCGGGGGGCCCTGGGGAGCCTTTGGGGCCCATGGGGCCCTTGGGGCCGACTTTTCCTGGCTTCCCTGGAACCCCTGGGTCCCCCTTCTCTCCAAACTCACCATGGTCACCAGCTAGCCCTGGCATCCCTGGAAAAGCAGAGACAAGAGATCACTAAGAACCAAAACAAGGCGCCCTGTGCTAAAAGACAGGGAGCTGGCTGAGTAACCTTGGGCAGGTCCTGCTCCTCTCTGGGCCTTAGCCTCTCATTTGTGAAAAAGAGGGTCCTGGTCCAAGGGCCTCCGGGTCCCCTTCCAGCCCAGCTTTCCAAGTCTGTGATGTGCTTGGCTACAATGGGGGCTCACACCCATAGGGTGGGAGCAGGGTCTCCCTGAGGAAGGTGCTGGGCCAGCCCTCCTCACCAGTTCATATGGCACCCTTGTTCAGCCTTCAGCCAGCACAGGTGCTGTCCCGCACAGTCCCCTCCCCCCATGGCTGATGTCCCTAACCAATTGTGCAGCCTTTCTTGCTGAACCTGGAAGGGGGGCCTAGAATCTTCCCACTCCACCACTCCAAGCAGCAGCTACCCCTCCATTTGGTACAACACAAGATAAAACCTCTTCCCCACAGAGTGGCAGAGGTTAGTGGTGGAGAACGTGGGTTCAGGGGACAGACAGAAGTGAGTATTGCATCATGTCTGCTGCTCTTAGTTGTGCTTCCTTGACTGAATTACATTTGCCACGGCTCAGCCACCTCGTCTGTAAAATGGGGATAAGGTTTTGTGGGCTTGGTGAGGACTGAATGAGCCCATCCGGGGAGAGGCTGGTTGGCTCTGAGTCAATGGATGCAGGAACTAGATGTCACGGGGGCCTCTGGATGGCAGGAAGTCACCATGGAACCCTGTGGCAAGCCCACAAAAGCATTGTCTGAATTTTATAGGGAAGGGAACAGCAATTCAGAGAGGTGAAGCCACTTACCCTGGAGGCAACCCAGGGCTGTATGATTGTGGTGGTGCCCTCTCTCTACTGGGATTTGGTGGTCAGAGATCCACGGTCTCATCTCAGCCTCAACCTTTATTGGGCTCCTTGGGGGCAAGTCAGTGGCCTTTCTGGACATCAGTTTTCCCATCTGTAAAATGGGAATCCAAATTCCCTCCTGGCAACGTTACTGCGAGGGCTCAACCAGCTGATGGATGGATGAGGTGTTTTTACAACCTCTAAAGTGGGCAGTTGTGACTGGGGAAGGGGCAGGGCCTCAGTCAGTGACACCAACGTGTCCTCAAAGTACACGACACCTTTCTCTCCCTTTGTCCCTGGCGTCCCAGGTGTGCCATCAGCTCCTGGTGTCCCTGGAATGCCCGGGATGCCAGGGATGGCCGGGTGCCCGGTGCAGCTCTGGGCCTGGGAGACATCCGGTGGCCCCAGGAGCAGTAGCAGCAGCAGCAGGAGGCCACCCCTCAGGGTTTTCATCACCGTGTTGTCCTGGCTGCTTCCTGCAGGGGGACAAGAAGAAGGTGTGGTAGGTTAGCGCTGGGGCGACTCTTCATTTCTTTTTAAATTCATCCACCCATTCACTCTTGGTTTGTTTGCTCGTTCATTTGTTTGGTCGTGGGTGTGCTGAGTGTGCCCTGTCCCCCAGACCCGGCTCTGCGTGCTGGGGATACAGTGGTGAACATGCAGGTACGGCCCTGCTGCTGTGGGGCCGACAGCCCGGGGGAAGACAGCTGATAAGCAGGTTAGTGTGCAAGAGAACAGAACCGGTGAGAGACGGTAATGAGTCCAGAGGGAGCAGGGAGGGGGGTGGGGTGGGGGGGCGGGTCTAGATGGGGGAGGCAACTTTGAGAAGTGTAGGTTCAGAAAGGTTCCCGGTGGGGGATGGGGGGCGGCATTCAGGGAAAGGACAGTGCGGGCAGATGGGAAAGTGGTCAGGGCCTGGTGGCGGTGGTCTGCAGGTTTTGGATTTTAGCCTAAGTGTTCTCATTCGTTAGAGCCTCTGAACTCAGGGTGCCCACACTGCTTGCGCAGTGAGCTACTTTACATCCTCAATGCAGACCCGCAGGGAGGAAGCTCTTATTGCTATACCGAAGGGGACACTGACTGAAGCTCGGGGTGGCCAAGTCACTTGCTTGGGGTCACCCAGGAAGGACTGCAGCCAGGACTCAAACCCAAGCCTGTCTATCGCTAAAGCCAGGGTCCCTGCCAGTGGACCAGCCCACGTCTTACGGCAGGATATTCTCGGTGCCTCCAAAGGCTGTGGGCCCTGGCGAGAGGGTGGTGCTGGCCCCTCCTCAATCCCAGAGAACTTGGAGAGGCCCAGGGCCGGCCGTCTTGAGCTGGTCGGCACCGCCGGTGCCCTACGGCATCAGTCCTCAGGTTGGACGTGACCTTAAACCCCATCTAGTCCAGCCCTTCGCTTACTGTTTTAAATCGAGCTGACATTCGCTACCACAAATTTGATCATTTTAAAGTGAACATTTAGGTGTCGTTTAGCACACTCATAATGTTGTGCAACCCCCACCTCTAGTTCCAAAACATTTTCACCCCCCCCATAAAACTGTACTCAGTAAGCGCTTATTCCCTAATCCCACATCCCCCTCAGCCCCTGACAACTAGCAATCTGCTCTGTGACTCTGTGGGTTTACCTCGGCTGGACGTTTAACAAAACAAATCACACAGTATGTGACCTTTCGCATCTGGCTTATCTCACTCAGCATGACGTTCTCCAGGTCCGTCCGTGCTGCGGTGAGTATCAGCCCTCTATGTACTTTATGGGTGAATAACAGTCCATTGTATGGCCATATTACAGTCCGTCTATCCCTTCATTGCTGATGAGCATTCGGGAAGTTTCTGCCTTTTGGCTATCGTGAATAGTGCTGCTATGAACAGCCAGGTACCAGAATTGTTTGAATACCTGTTTTTAGTTCTACCTAGGAATGGAATTTCTAGAATTACTGCCTGGGGTCTTATGGCAATTCCGTGTTTAACTTTTTGAGGAAACATCAGCCTATTATTTAGTCTCCTCAATAATATCTCAGCCAAGGGCTCCTCCATCCATAACTTGCACCACCTCAGTAACGAGCAGCTCATTCCTTAACCAAGACAGCTCATTCCTTCTTTGCCCAGATCCGAGTTCTCCCCATCCATCAAGCCTTAGGTCACAGTTTTCTCCTCCGGAAAGCCTTTTCTTGTTACCCCTCAGTCCACAGAGGATGAGCTGTTTTCTGCTCTTAAAACGGGAGCTCGGACTGGTCCCTGCCACCTCCCAGGACAACTGTGGGGACCTTGGTGGGACCGTGGCTGGGGAAGGGCCACAGGGTGGTTCCAAGCTCTGGCTCAGACTGGCCGCTGCCCCTGCTGTCCGACCCTCACCGCCCTCTGGGGAAGTAGGTTGTGTTTATTTTCCCATGTTGCAGGTGGGGAAACTGAGGCTCAAACATTAGAAAGCAACCTGCCCACAGTTATCCGGGAGTTTGTTATGGTCAAACTCCTCCCACCCCTGCCTCATGCCGGCTGGGCCAACCCAGAATTTGGCACCTAGAGGCCTCCCTGGGACCAGAAAAACCTGCCAGGTTTTGACTCACATGCTCACCCTCTCAGTCTGGTTCCAGTCAATTCATTGCCCAAAGCCCCAAGTTATGCCAGGCTCTGGTCTGGGAGGCTGCACCAGGGGCTGTGACTGGGACCAAGAGAGACCGGCTTAGGCTCTGCCCTGCTCCGGAGAGAGGGCGATTCCAGGGACCCTGCTCATTTTTGAATGAACATCAGTTCCCACTGTTGCTGGAGGTCTCACAAAATGACAGTTTGACAACGTTCATAATCCATGTGTCGGGTACTTAGCAGGGACCAGGCTCTGTGCCTGACGTGCCATTATCTCATTGGACTTGGTCCTTACAACAGCCTCTGGACAAAGGCCTCCCTGAGCTCTCATTGTACAGATGAGGAAACCGGGCACAGAGACAGCGAGAACTCGGTCAAGGTCACACAGCCCTGAGGAGCTGGGATTCACACCCACACTCACAGGGTGTTAGGAGGCTGCCCCACTTGGTGGTTGAGAACACGGGCCTTGGAGCCAGACCACCCGACAGGAGGCACTAACGCTCGGGCTGCCCTGTGAGCCGAGCTGGGCCCGGGGCCCGTGCCCCGTGATGGAAGCTCTCGCCGTCACTGTCACTGTTGCTGTCAGGCAGCAAATGCACACAGTGGTGAGGGGCCTGGGGTGTCATCAGGAAATCAGCTGCCAGGGTCCCCAGCAGGCCTCTGCCACTTCTCAGCTAAGGGCCTCAGACAGCTCACTGCTCCTCTCTGGCCACAGCTTCTCCCCCCAAAATGGGGCTAACACCAACCTCTACCTCGTGGGGCTGGTGGGAGGACAGATGAGCTAGGGCTTATGACAAGGTCTGGCGTGCTGGGATGTCCGTTACTTTTAAAGCTGTCCCCATCACCTAAGAATCCCCGGGTCATGGACAGGATGGAGGGGGGTGATCGGAAAAGGGAAAGAGGGTCAGTCTCTTTGAGAGGTTGGGCTCGGGGAGAGGGGGCATCTCAGGCAGAGGCGGCCCAGGGGTGCAGAGTGTCCATCAGTGAGGCGGGTGGAGGGAGAGCAGGGTCCTGACCTTTGATGAAACCCAGGCTTCTCAGGGAAGTGGGAGGTGGTGGTCGGCGGTTGTGGGGGGATCTGGGCTCTGGCTCATTTCAGGGGCTGCTGAGTCCCATCTGGTCGGACCCCCACTGCCTCCCCCAGTCATCACCACCACCAGCCTTGCCCCTTCCTCGTGTCTTTCCCTGCATCACTGACCCTTCCACCCCCTTCCAGCTCCAACCATTTCTTTATCCCTGACTTGGAGCCAACTTGACCTTGAACCTTCCCTCTCTTCTGCTGCTACCTCCCTGTGTGACCTCAAGTGAGAGCCCAAACCACTCTGAGCCTCTTTGGAAAAGTTAATTTCTACCTGATAGGGCTGCCAGAAGATTAAGTGAAATGGGGCCTAAAAAATAAAAATAAAAATAAAAATAAAGGTCCCTGGGGTGCTGTAAATCAAATTATTTCTTTGAAAGAGTCATCCTAAGCTTTCTCAGCAGAATGCAAGGAAGTAGGAGGACACAGGTATTGAAGAAATGCTGGGCTGGGTGGAGGGCGACCTGGGGTCTCACATCCCTCTGCCTCTGACATCTTGATCCAGGTGGTTTGCTAAACACTGGGTGACCTTGACCTCGCTTGGGGCACATAAGACCCCTGAAAGGTTGTTATCCCCAGAGAGGGTCTCAGCCAAGAGGTTCTATGCCTTGCCCCAGAACAGCACTTCAGAGGCAGAAGCAGGACTCAGCCCGAGTCTTCGTGACCACACAGCCCTTACGCTGGCGGCTCCCATTTTAGGCTGCCTCCCCATCACCTGGGCCCTGGGTAGCTGCAGATCCCCAAGTTCACCTCCAGGCAGTGTGATCCCCGAGGCCCAGACCCAGTCAGGAATCCCCACTGTGGGAATCGCCACCCTCTGCCGGCCAATGCCCCCAGGTGGCGGCCCCGTCCTCACCTGGGAACCGGGCGTCCTGTGGTGCCTTTTGGCGGTGCAGCAGTGGGACCAGGAGCCGGGAGCCTGATACTCTCTGTCCAAAGCAGAAGTTCCATCCCCCTGACACGGACGGGCCTTCCCCTGACAGCCCCCTCCCATGGGCCCAGCGGGCCGTCCCCCCACCCCATCACCCCACTCTTACCCGGTCCTGCTGCCTGCAGGCAGTTTCAGGTCCTGTTTCTGCAGTGCGGAGGGACTTACTGGAAATCGGGTGGACCGATGGTGACTTTGGTTTCGCCAGCTCAGCAGCTGTGGGGAACAGGCTGTCCTGGTAGAATGTCCACAGCTGGTGGCCCCAGAGCCTCTGACCTCACGAGCTCCTAAGGGAAGCAGGTGTTCCTCAGTGAAGTGGGAACGTGGTCAGCCTGGTGCCTGGGCGCTGGGGTTGGGGTCAGAAGCCTTGATTCGTAACCTGGCTCTGCCACTTACCAGCCAAACGTTCTCAGCCAGAGGGGTCCAAGGGAGACCCATTTCTTCTGTCACATGATGGGACCATAATTACACCTGCTTAGGGACCTCTCGGGGCACAGAGGGGCTCAGATGGGGCAGCGGAGGAGGAGGGAGGGCGCGGGGCAGCGCGCCGCACCTGGTCCTTGTTAGCAGCGCCCCACGCCCCAGGCTTCCTCTTTCAGAGCTTGTCTCCTCTGCTTTCTTCCCATTCTGCACCCTTGCTCTTTCCCTGTTCCCAGGAAATAATCTAATAATGAAGAATGAATTTTAAATGTGGCCATTATTTATTTATACAAGCAGGGCTTGAAGCTGATGACAATAATAAGCACAGTCAGGGGCCTCTTGCTTGTTGGTCTTGGAATCACATCAAGTTAGAGCTAGAGAGGGGCTCGGAGGCCACCCAGCCCATCCCCCTCGGCTTAGATATGGGGAAACTGAGGCCCCGATGTGCCCTGCACGGGGAGACGGAGCCACAGGCAGATCAGCCCTAGACCCTGCCTCTTCTACAGGGGGAGACTGGGGTGAACCACCCAGTGACAAATGTCACAAAACAGGACTGAATGCTGGAGCCCAGACCTTGTGCCAGTGGCCGATGCAGGACGGAGCCGGCACCTGACACCAGATACCAGCCTCTTTCTGTGGCTGTGTCTCAGGTGAGGTGACGCCCTATCGGCGTGGTTGCCTGGCAGGTGCGGGTCAGCAGGGCCGTCCTGACGTCCGTGCCTAGAGACAGGAGATCGTTGGCCTGCGGATGCTGCCTGATGGGGCCTGTGAACTAACTGCAGTGGGTGGTAGGGAAAGAAAAGAGCAGCTTGATAAATCCAAAGAGGCGGAGGCCTGGGTGGGGATGGGACAGTGGTGGGTGCTGGGCAGTGAGAGGGCCGTGAGTCGGCTGCAGGTCCTGGAGTCTGTCTGAGGGTTCCTGAGGCCACTGGGCCTGGCCTCTAACTCTTTGGTGGCTAATGGCAATGGGAAAATATGAGCTTGAACCTGGAGTAGAAGCAGCCAGGAGGAGGTAAAGGCATGACTCTGGAAGGACCTCTTCCAAGTTTGAATCCCAGCCCTGCCTTTTTCTGGTTACATGGCCTCAGGTACATTTATTGACTTCCTGGGGTTGGTTTGTGGGGGTGCAGTGAGGTAACCCGCCCATCTGGGGCCCAACTGAGTGCCCAGCCCTTGGTGTGCACAATGCAAACCTGGGAAAAGTACGGTTTGTATGAATAGACAGTTCTTGGAGCCTGGGAACGTAGGAGCCACGCCTGGATTTGGAGGAGGATTATACTAGGGGCCAGGAGTGAGGGGGTCTCTGAGATTGGGCCCTGAGTGAAACCAGCTGGCCTCTGTGCCCATAGAACTGCTGACTCCCATTCTTTTGTGAAAAGGCATCTAAACCCCCTCAACGTCCCGGTGCACGAGAGATCCTTACAGCCTGGCGTGTCTCGTCCTGGCCCCTGTCCCTCCCCACGCCCTCCTCTCCTGTCCCCGTAAAAGTCCTCCCCCCCGTTCCTCTCAGCCCAGCAGAGAAGCTGGCGTTTTCAAAGGCCTGTCTCTCTCCTGACAAAGAGACACCAACAGGGAAACACTTATGGGAAATAAAAATGGCCCAACACTGTTGTTTCCCAGAGTACGGATCTCTGATCTGACGCCGCGGCGCGCATCAATGGCATATTGATTTTTTAAACAGAAGCAAACTGAGAAGAAAGATGTATCACCGTGGGCATCGCTGGGCGGACTGCGGACGGGCTGTGGGCGGGGAGCTGTGAACGGAGTGGCCCCGTGGCCCCGGCTGCGTCCCTGCCGGAGGCACCCAGGCTCTGTGACCCGGGCTGGGCTCCTCGGCTTCGGCCTCTGCTCTCACTCTGTGTGTGTGTCCTTATCTGTCCCTCCTTCCCGGCCCATGCACTTTTCATGTCCCTACTGTGTGCAGGCACGTGTCAAAGTGGCCCTGCCCTAGGGAGCCCTCAGGGCCTAGTCATGAATACTAAATAACGCAGCAGGTTGGTGAACATCATGCCTGGTCCATAGTAAGCGCTCAGTAATCCTGGCCGTTATGATGTTTTCATTCACTTACTCATTTACCCACTTACTCTGCTCATCACTCACCCTAGTTCACTGGTTCATGCAGCACAAGTTCATTGCACATCCGACTCTGTCCAGCTGGGCTTACCTGGGCCTGAACCCCTCCTGTGACAGGTGCTCCTGAAATTCGACATGAGTCTGGGAACTCAAACACACTCCCGTTCACCTGTGAGCACAGGTACCTTTAATGACAGCGGCGCCTCTCACCGGTGACAGCAGACGGCCCCTTGGGGACCTCCCGAGTCTCCGACCGCACTTGAGCATCTCTCCCCCAATGGCCCGATGGTGCCTTCACGGGGCCCTTGCGAGATGCCCCGTGTGAGTCCGGACCCCACAGACAGACGCGGCAGGTGCATCTCAGAGGTGAAGAGACCTGTTTCTTCCAGGGGGCAGAGAGGACTCAGAGCCACGCGTTTTCATCGATTTAACCATTTATTTATATGTCTGCCTGAGTCCACACTTAGAGAAGAAGGAATGATGGCACCAGAGGTGTTGCTCAAGTGTCAAGGCAGCGGATCCTGCAGGAACTCAGAGAAGGGAGAGAACTCGTGGGGTGGGGGTCAGGGTGGGCTTTCTGGAGGAGGAGTCCATCGGGTGGGGAGAATGGCCCGAGCAAGGGCGTGGCACAGCCAGGAAAGCTGAGGGAGGTGGGGTGGCCTGGGGCCGGAGCAGACCCGCCGCCCTAGTCGGGGAAGAGCAGGAAGCCAGAGAAGACGCTGTCGGAGCCCTCGGTGCCCACCATGCCGTTGTAGTCGTTCACCGCCAGCCACACCTCGTCCCCCACCTGCAGACGCAGCAGCACGCCACCGGAGCTGACCTGCTTGCTGTTGGACATGTGGTCACAGAAGGTGGTCACCTTGACATCGTTGTGGTACAGCAGCACGCACAGGTTGGCCGTCTGTGACGTGTGGTGGACGAAGTAGTAAAGGCCGGGGACTTTGCAGGTGAATTTGCCTGTGTTTGTGTTATAATCCCCCTGTGGGTTAGTGATGACCGTGTTGAACTTGACCAGGCTATTGTCTCTCGGGTACTGCACGGTCTGCCGGGTGACCGTGAACACCGACTGGTGCTTCTGCTTGTATCTGCCTTCCTCTCCCGGCTCCCCGGGGGGCCCCATGAGTCCAGGATCCCCCGGCAACCCGGGGGCTCCCATGGGGCCGTTTTTCCCAGGAATGCCAGGTGTGCCAGCTTCTCCCTTCTGGCCCTTGGGTCCTCGTGTCCCAGGAATAGCTGGGATGCCTGGGGAGAAAGCAGGTGGGAAGGAAGTGTTGGGGCAGGTGACAGGGGAGAGAGACCCTGGCGCTGGCCTCTAGGGGACACACTGCTGGGGTCTGGTCTCTGGAATCTCTTTCCACCAGGAGCACTGTCCACCTGGGAGCCGTGTGCAGGGAGCAAGGGCGACAGAACAGCTGATAAGCTGGAAAGAGGGTCTGAACCCTGCCCCACCCCCCCATACAGACTTGCTTTCTGACCTGGGCTGAGACATTTGTCTCTTGGCCTCAGCCTCCACATCTGGGACGCAGAGGGCAGGACTAGCCAGCCCAAGGGGCATCGAGGGTGGCATCTCAGTGTGTCAGAGGCCACGCCTGTCAGCCCACAGGCAGCATGTGACCTCTGAGAGCTTCTATGTGGCTAATGTGATGTGTTACTAACTTTTTATTTACAGCCAACATTGGTATGCTCAGACCTCCCTCACCCAAAGTCTAGTTGTTCTTGATGAAAATCAGATCGCTCGGAGGCAGATTCCCTGGGAAGCTCCTGGATCCTGCTTCAGGTCCCGTGATGAACACTGGCCCCTTCAAGGAACTTTGCCTAATTTTATATTTATAAAGTTTTGCAACTTTTATGTTAAAATAACCACAGATTCACAGGAAGTTGAAACAAAAAATGCAAGATGGTCCCATGTGCTGGTCCCCTGGTTGTCCCTGCGGCTCATCCTGCACAACCAGAGCACAGACTCACGCCCGGGGGGGGGGCCTTGGTGCAACCCACCGAGCTCCATTCACAAGCACTGTGTGCGTGTGTATAGTTTCAACACAATTCTATAGTGTGTGTAGGTGTGTGTGACACCCCTTCCCTGCAATCAAACGTACCCCTCATTTTGTGTTGTTTTTCTAAAAGAGGACCTTCAAATTCGACGAGTCTCGGAGCCCTACCGAACCCATGTCTGTGCCCCAGGCCAGCTCGGTGTGTGGGAACCACCGGATGGAGCCAAACAGATGCCCCTCGATGGGGGCTGCTCCCTCCTGCTGCCCCAGCTGCACTCAGTCCACTTCAGCTGCTAACGACAGCTGGCCGGGTTCTGCTTTCCTCATGTTGAAGGGCAAGGCCAGACACTTGCCCAAGGCCATGTTGCTGGTAGGAGGTGGATTTGGGACTCAAAGTCAAGTCTGTCTGTGTTGCAGTCAGAATTTCTGATTCTTGTTACCACCCCAATCATCTGCGCCTCCTCTTGTTCAAACTATACTCATCTTTTAGGGCCTGACACCAGACTCCTCTTCCAGGAAGCCCTCCCTGACCACCCCTGCCTACCATCATGGCCACTTCCTCCTCTGGCTTCCTTAGAAGTGGGTGTCTATGCAAACCTACTTGTGAAGATCCTTCACATGGCTCATGGCTCATGGGCCATTTAGGTCCCAGGGTTAAGAGCGGGGGCTCAGGACCCAACAGACCTAGGCTTCGGGCTGTGTGACCCTGGAGAGGTGACCTCCCCTTCCTGAGCCTCTTTTGCCCAGTTGAGATAAGGGCATAATGAACTGGACCTGGCAGGGCCACTGGAGAGAGTGGGATGGGAGGATGCACGTGCCCGGCACCTCCCAGGAAGTACTCAGTGAGTACCAGGTCCCTGTGGCGGTCGGCAGCGATGCTGAGCGGGCACTGGGCCTCATGCTTCGAGGTGTCTTCCAGCATGTGATTGGGAGGGGCAGCACTCAGCCGTGCGGAGGGGGCCTGGGAGGCAGTGGACGGCAGTGATTAAGGCGGTGGCCTTTGGAGTTGGACAGGGCTCTACTGTGTGACTTCAGGCAGGTTACTCAATCTCTCTGAACCTCAGCTTTGACATTTATAAAAGGGAATAAATCACTTCTTCAAAGGATTTGGGCCACAGTTTTGCTCATTTGCAAACGAGTTAACAATTTAACCTGCCCCACTTGGAACCATGCCTGGCACAAGTAGGAGCTCAAATATTAGGGGCCCTCTGCCCCCCTGGGCAGTGAGGTGGCCAGAGGCAGCCTGAAGCACAGGGTCCCCCCAAAATGGCACACCCGGGGATCCTCATTCAGCTCACCCTGCACAGGAGGATTTTTTCTGGAATGTTGGCAAATCCCACTCCATTGCCAGGAGGGAAGGTGACTTGGGGAAATTCCTAAGGAAATTCCTCTCCACTGGCTCCTCATCCCCCTCACCTCTGCCCCCCCATCAGCTCTGCCCATCCCCACCCGGCCTCACACATGCTGCCCCAGGCACACTCCTCCACCTCCCAGATATGTGCCCACTTCAAAGGAGGCGCTGAAGACTCCAGTCTGCCCCAGCACCAGCCCCCTCTTGTCCTCAGACCCCCCTTTGCTCAGGCCGGAGCTTGCCCGTGAACCCCAACAGAAGGTCCTATGGCTGGGACCCTGACTTCTCACCCCCCACCTGTCCAGCCACCCAGATCTTAGGGAGGAGGTGAGCACAGATTTCTGGTGGAAATGATAACAACAGCAATGACCACCATAGCCTACACTTTGCAGTGCCTGCCACGTGTTCAGCACTGTTTTGTAACTTAATCGCCGTAGCACCCCCGTGCAGTAGGCACCCCCGCTTCACAGATGAGGAGACCAAGGTGCCAGACGGTAAGCAAGTGCCTTGCTCAAGTTCACACAGTGGGAAGTGGTGGGGCTGGGATTTGAACCCTGCTCATCTGTGCATTGTATACATTCCCTGTGTTCGTCCCACCTTCCCCAGGGGTCCATGTCACAGAGCAAGTAGTACAGGGGTTGTGACAGAACAGTAGCCTAGCATTTCAGAGTTTGCCGGGAGTTTCCCTGTGGTCCCTGTCCTGTGACCCTCCCCACTGCTTTGTGGGCAGGTGTCCATCTTCTCTCACTGGCTTCAGGTGAGGAATCTGGGGATGCCCGAGGCCTGGGCTCTGAGGGGCTACACCTGCCGGGAGAGCGGGACTCTGTCCCGAGAGCAGCCCGCCCCCACCCCCAGGCCTGGGTGACCCCTCCGCAAGAAGCCCCTCGACTCACCTGGCTCGCCCTTGGGCCCTTGCAGTCCGTCGTGCCCGTCTTTCCCCGGGGGCCCGGGCAGGCCCGGCATCCCGGGGACGCCGTAGCAGTGCTCGCTGGCCCGGCTCTCGGGCGGCAGCACCAGCAGGAGAAGCAGCAGGTTTAGTCCAAGGTGGGCCCAGGAGCTGGAGCCCCTGTCCATCCTGGGGAAGGAGCTGGACGGGAGACCTGGGTTGGCCCGCCCAGCCCCTCACTCACCCTCTTCACCCTCTCACTCCCCAGGGCTCATCCTTCTTCACCCTCAGGAACCCACTTCCCCTCCCCGGGCCCCTCCCCCTTGGGACCACACGATGCATGGACGGTGGGGGGACGTCTTGGAGCTCAGACCCCCAGCTTATTGGGGACGGGGACCCTCCCTTCTCTCACAAATCAGGCTGTCCCCAGGGCCACGTCTCAGGAAGGTGGTGGGGAAAATAACCACCCTTCGCCCTCACCTGGGCAGGGGTCCTGGCCTCACCTGGGCGTGGGAGGTTCTGGTCTGGTCACTGAGATGTCTTCCAGTCTGCTTCCCCTCTCCAAGGCAGGAGGACGCCGTCTCAGAGTGGACACAGCAGGGAGGGCCCCGAGCGGGCTGGGCGGCCCCCTCCCCCCACCCCCCAGTACCACATCCCCTTTCCCGCATTTTTTCCTGACTCGATGCTTTCTTTCGGGCGCTGAGCCAGGCTGACCACAGTGACACTTCTGTGGCCCCCACCCCTGGGTCATGCGTGTCCGAAATGGGGAAACGTCCGCCGCTCCGGATCTGGCGAAGGGTGTGTACGTGTCTGTGCTGGTGTAAACGCCAGCCTCCTGGGCAGACTTCCCCTGAAGACAACTTCAGCCCCTGAACACCTGCCCCCACTTGCTGGCACTTATGGTGCCCGACACTGAGCTGTTCAACACCCCGCCCCCAGGAGGAAGTTGTAGTCCCCCTGACAGGTGAGGAAACTGAGGCTCAGGGAGGTGGAAGCCTCTGCCCAAAGAAACCACGTAGTGAGTGGTTCCTTGGGGTCCAAAGCCTTGCTCTGACCCCTCTGCTTAGCTCCCACAGAAACAAGCCTCCTGTGCACTTGTCAAGTGGCAGGCCTTATTCTAGAAGCTTCCATAAGGAAGTTTGGGGTCCCAAGCCTTGCTCTGCCCCCTCCCATATCACAGTTGGGACTGGACACCCAGGACGGGTGAGCTTTGACAGCAGGCAGCCTGCTGTGATGGCTGATCCCTCTGGCTGCCATCGGTGGCCTCAGGGGTTTATTTCCAGCCCTGCCACCCCCTTGCCTGAGACCTTCAGCAGACCGCTGACCCCACCCAGGCCTGTCTCCCGTCCCTTCACTGGCTGGTGGAGAAGGCTGGCGGGGCTTTGCATGCTGGCGCCTCTTTCTTTGCTGGGGCCCCCAATGAACTCACCTTCCCTGCCAGCACTGCCCCCCTCACCTCCGCCCCAGCACCCCTGCCTTTGGTCTTGGAGCCTCTTATGGCCCGTGAGGGGTTGCAGGTCAGGGTTGGGCTGGCAGAGCTGAGCGAGGCCCCCACCTCCTCTTCTCCTCATACAAGATTCCACAGAGGAAAGAGGTGTCAGGCTGTGGAGGGTCCCGGCCCTGGCCCCACTCCTGCCACCTGTGTCATTCAGCTCCGGTTCCTGGCCCTGTAAATGGGGGTCCCACTGGCTCCCGTGCAGGGCAGTGGTGAGGAGGCACGAGCAGGAGTTCAGAGCCTTGCCCCTGCCCCCCCAGGGGACCCTCAGGGCCTCAGTGTCCCCACCTGCTTCTCCACACACTGGGGCGAGGATGCAGGGTGTGGGGTGAGGGTAGAGATGAGAGTGCCCATGGCCCCGGGAGTCTGGGACTGGGGAGCGGAAGGATGGATAGCACAGGAGCGTCCATCTTCCTCCCTCATTTGCGCCTGGGTCCGTTTTGTCCAGCAGATGGCAGCCTCCGCCTGTGCTCGGCAATTCCCAGCCCCACCGGCAGGTCCAGCTGGGTCGGTCCCTTTCAGAGGGAGTAGTGATTTGCCTGGCAGAGCTGGGTCAGTGTGGGTGGAATTCAGGGTAAGGCAGGACCACGGTTTCTATGGCCTGGTCCCTCCCACCCCCTTGGGGCTCCACCGCTGCCATTTTCTTTGAGTCTCACTGCAGTGAAAGAAGCCTTCCACTTGGGGGTCAGGAAGAGCTGGTTCAAATCTAGGCCCTGCCAACTTCTGGCAGTGTGACCTTGAGTCTATGTCTTCCTTCTCTGAGCCTCAGTGTCCTCATCATTTTGCTGGGGTTAAATGTATCAGTGGGTGAAAATGTCCACACACGAAGACCTGTTTTCTCTTCCCAGCCCAAAGGTGGCTGTGTTCTGGGGGGCAGGAGGGTCACTGGGGCAAAGCGGAGACCCAGTGGGGCCAAAGGCCCTGCAGCACCCAGCACTGTCCCAGGGCTACGGGAGGGTCCCTCCCTTCGTCCTGACTCCCAGAGGCTTTTGGCGGGGCCGCTGCAGGCCAGGGCCTTGGCTGTGTCTAAGGCAGGGGTGGGCCTTGTACTTGCAGACTCTGAAGCTGCTTGTGCATCAGTTAGTGGCTGGGGGAGACAGTTCCTGGGGGATGCCAGCGATGTGTGAGCAAACACGGGAGTGCCAGAGGGAGTGGAGGGTGTACACCCCTGTGTGTCAGGGGTGTGCCTGGGACACCTGTCTCAAGGCGTGTGAGTCAGAGTACTTGTAATGGTTTACAGGGGCCCTAAGGCACCTGAGGCAGGGGCGCATAGACGTGATGGCCCATGTATCCCTGGATAGGTCTGTGGGTTTGTTGGCGTAATGCGTGTGGGTGTCCAGGGGGTGTGCACGGGTGTGTCTAAGAAAGTGAGTGTGTGCCGAGGGAGAGAATCACGTGCTCCTGTTTCAGTGAGGAGGGGACAAGTCTTGGTCTGAAAATGTGGAAAGGTGTGTGTTCGTGGTGGGTGTGCACGTGTGCACGTGTTCGCATGTGAATGTGGTAGGTGTGCATGTGTACTGTGTTCGCATGTGTGTGTACATGCAGCACAAAGATAAGCCGGCTCCCCCCCCTGGGAAAATGCACAGGGCATTGGACACTCAGGACTGACTTCTGGCCTCCTTGTTTTCCTCACTTGCACAGGGCTTACTGGGCCAGCTTCTCGCACCTGAGCAGCCCCCGAGCAGCTCCCAGATGGGCCACGCGGGACCCTGGGGATGAGCCGTGAACCTTCCGGCCCGCCACCCCGGTCCGCACCCAGGTGGTGTGCCCAGCAGGCTTGCCGCCCCAGCCTCCGTGCCTGCCGGGGTTGAAGCCCGGGGCTGGGCTCAGGAAACTGTCTTTGGGGAGGACTGCCGGACGCCCTTGGGCCGACTGCTCGCCCCCTCTGAGACCTGCCCCTGCCTTTCTGGTCATCTGTCAGGCGTGTGGCTGTGGAAGCTGACAGGGCAGCAGTTAAGACACCCAAGGCTTGGGCACCAGGAAGACCTGGAGTTAAATGCCAGCTCCTCCCCTTGAACCCTCACCTGCACTCTGTCTGCCCCAGCACCGGGCCTCAGCTTTATCTGGAAAACAGGGTCATGATTCCCACCTCAGAGATCGACTGTAAAGATTGTACAAAATGTAATATAGCTAAACCGCCGTAGCCCTGACGTTGAAGCAGGCCCTGCCCCACTGTTTTTACACGGTGATTCGTTCGGTCCTCCCACACCCCTCTGAGACGAGGGTCATTCTTATGCCCACCTCCTAGACCGGGAAACTGAGGCTCCCTGAAGTTATACAACAGGCACTCGATCGAGTCACTAGTAAATGGCAGTCTCAGGCTTCGGGCCCAAGCCAATGAGGCTCCCAGCACCTGTCGAACACACATGGTAAATACTGACTATGAACTTGGCCTGTAAGCCCCGAACAGCTGTCCTTGTTATGCCTCCCTCCCAGTGCCCAGGGCAGCAACTGAGTCTCAAGCCAGCAGACGGGACACGGGTATTTATTCCAGAACGAGTCCCAAGAAATGATCTTTCTTCAGCTAACACAACAGCACCCTGCTTGACAGAGCAGAGCGTAGAAACCAGAGAGGTGTAGTGAGTGGGCCTGGGTCACACAGCAGGAGGAAGACGAGGCCTGGGGGGAGGAGGGGTCCTGCCCTGGTTCAGGTGGATGGGAAGATGAGGAAGCCACTGAAGACGCTGTCCGCCTCGGAGCCCTGGTAAATGCGGCCCTTCACGGGGTCTTTTTCGATCCAGACCTGGTCTCCATTCTGCAGCTGGAGCACGGTGCCCCCAGACACCACCTGGAACATGCCCTTGCTGTTGGTGTCGCAGAAGCCTAAGGAGCGCAGGGTCTGGCCCCTCCTGGAGGACATGATGGACAGGCAGATGTCCCACTTGGACACCACCTGGAAGGTGAAGTAGTAGTAGCCTGGCACAGCACAGACGAACCGGCCCGAGTGGCTCTGGTAGCGGCCTTCCTCGTTGGTGATGACCGTGTCGAAGATGACCACGTTGCCACCCATCGGCGGGTTCCGCCTTATGGCTGAGAAGGCTGGCCTCGGCTGGGCATTGATGTTTCCCGGGTTGCCCTTGATGCCCTTGTTTCCTGGGATGCCGGGGGCACCCATGGGACCGCTGGGTCCTGGGTAGCCCATTTTGCCAGGGCTTCCAGGCAACCCAGGGTCCCCCTCGTCTCCTTTAAGACCTCGGATGCCTGTCCGGATGCCAGGGGCCCCTGTGGGGAGGAAGGCCAGGGTGGGAGTGAGAGTCTAGTGACTGCCCGTCCTCAGGGAGGTGGCTGGGACCCCGGAACGTGGTGCGGAAGTGCATAGGGGAGTGCCTGGGCCTTTAAGACATTGGTTCTGGGTGGCTCTGGGACCTTGGGCAAGTACCTCAACCTCTCTGAGCCTCGGCTTCTTTATCAATAAAATGGATGGAAGTGTGAACAAGAACCTGGGGAAGTGTCACGTTCTGTGAAACTCAGGGCACTGGTTCCCCCACTGTGCTTCCACCCACGGACCTGCACCCCCATGCAGTTTCGGGGTGCCCAAAGGCAAATGGTCGCAAACCTCTCTGTGGGTCTTTCTGGTCTGCTGCGGACTGAGGTCTGGGGGTCACGTGAAACTTCTCTTTCCCACTCTGCTCATGTTCTCCTCCCTTTCCGTCACCCCCAGGCTCTCCCCTCAGATTTGAGAGTTTCAGGAGCCTGAATGGACTGGAAAGGGGGAGCATGGAGAGAATGGGGGTGTAGGTAAAAAGAAGCAGACAAGGATAGCTGCGTTAAGTGATCCCTCTCTATGTGCTGGGTGGGGTTATTTCTCTGTTTTACAGATGAGGAAACTGAGTCTCCGAGGGGGGCACACAGCACGACAAGGAAGGGCTCCCAGGTCTAAAATCTAGGGCATTAACCATTCTGGTAACAACAACCAAGGACTGGGCACAGCTTCAGGACCAACCCTATTGATCGCTTGCAGTGACCCATTCCCAGAGGAGACAGACAAGGCCCAGGACAGAGGGCCCGAGCAGTTGGGAGGATGTGGGGACATGGTCTGGGGGGAAGGCCAGGCCCCCCACCTCAGACTCTGGGACCAAGTGGGATTGGAGGGGCTTTATGTGGGGGCCCAGGTGGACTCCTGCATTTCGGTGCCACCCCCAAGCCTCCACTCTGCAGCTCAGGCCAGGTAAAGGCACGACGGGCCAGGGTTCAGAGGCAGGTACTTACCTGGCTCCCCTCGCTCCCCCTTGAGGCCCGGCCGCCCAGGTCGACCAGGTCTCCCTGCAGCCCCGTTCTGCCCATTCGGTGCTCGGCAAACGTCCTGGGTCAGCGTGGAGGTCAGGGACATGGCCAGCACACCAACCACCAGCCAGCCCCATGGGGCTTCCATGATGCCACTGCAGAGACACGACAGGGTCCGGGGGGCTGGACACCACACACGAATGTACACCCATTTCCCACACTTGAGTCCCCCCACCCCCCCAGGACAACGTGTATCATCCTGTTGCCACCAGGGCACACCTCCCTTCTTGAGGGGCTTCTATGTCCACACCCTGCCCAGCTCCAGGGAACAGACCTTCACAGGGAATCACGAACTCGCACAGATGCGCACGTGCCGCTGAGCACACCCACAGTCACACTCTCAGACACACAAACAGCCTCTCACTCACGCACTGCCAGACACACGGACCGACCCCATCCCTCACCACCTGGACACACGTGTTCCTACACTCCTACCGAGGATCAATTCCACTGAACATTTATCGAGAGGCCGCTCCTTACTTAATCAGCACTCTCTCACCCGATGGCATAGCTGTGTGTGCACACAGGAACTCACAAACACCTGACCCCACACCTGCTCGCTCCCCTCCACACTCGTCCCCTCCCAGGCTGCCACCCACGGCCCCCCTCTGCAAGACCCCTCTGCTGGGCTCTGAACCTCTCAGCCTGTTTTAGCTTCTTGTGTTCTGGGGGGGTCAGGACCCAGAAACTCTGGTTAGAGCTGATGGGTCTGTATCACCACCTCCCACTGTCCCCAAGTCCAAGGAGTTAAGGCCCCCCCACTCCCTGCCACTCAAGGATTCTGGGTCCTGAGTAAGTGCCCCACCCCACCCCAGCCTGGCCCAAGCCGGTTAGATGTACTTCCCCTCCTGCTGGCCTCAGGGGCCCGGCCCCGAGGCCCGTTCTCAGCTCCCAACCTTCACAGCCTGCTCCCTCTCAGGCGCTGGTCTCACCTGCCTTGGGTGGTCAATTCAACTGGATGTTCCTGCTGTCCACCCAGGGACCTCTGTGGGACACCCCACAGGGTGATGCCGGCCAGGGGCCAAGTTTCACATCCCTTCCCACTTCCCCTTCTCCTTCTCTGGACCTGCCCCTGGCATTGCCCCAGGGGCTGGAGGCTGACCTGGGACATTTTCAGCAGACCTCAGCAAGACTGGGACATGGGACGTCCTACCCCAAGCCACAGCTGGTGTGGGGGCAGGGACAGCAGACAGGAGTCTCCAGAACAGAGGGCTGTGGAGGCATTTGGGGCAGGACTGGTAAAATCAGTAACTTGTAAGACTTCTTTTGGATGAAAGCAACAATGCGTACGCATTGTCAAAGCTTGTAAATAGAGAAAAGCACAAAGAAGGAAGAACAGTGCAGTGATAATGAGCTGGAGACCAGCTGTCTAGATGTGCCACTTCCTGGTTGCGCCTCCTTGGAAAAGCACGGAGCCCCCTCCCCCCCAGCAGTTGCTTTTCTCATTGGTGAGTTGGGAAGAGCAGGTTCTCCACCTCATTGGATGGCCATCGAGTTCTAATGATATAACACACACTGGGCGCACGGTGAAGGCTTAATGATGAGCTTTTACCAACATTTAAAAAATAGTGACAGCCCCAGCCAGTGTGGCTTCTTTGGTTGGAGCATCATCCTGTAACTGAAAGGTTATGGGTTCGATTCCTGATCAGAGCACACACCTAGGTTGCATGTTTGATCCCCAGTCCAGGTGCGGGCACAGGCGCGTACAATCCAAGGTCCAGGTGCCGATCCCCAGTCCGGGTGCGTACAGGAGGCAACCGATTGAGGAAACTCTCTCTCTAAAAAAAAAAAATGAAAAAAATGTACTAGAGTGAGGCTAAAAAATTTTAAAATTGTGACCAAGCCCATAAATTCTATCATCTAGAGAATTGCTGTTAACATTGGCTGCCTCCTCTAGCCTTACTCGTTCTCACTGATGGGGTGCTCACTACCTGCCAGCACAGCTCACGCCACGATTGCCAGCTTGGACCCTGAGAACGCTTTCCTTTAGATTGAGCCATCTGCCTCCCCAGCCTGGAGACCTGTGCGTCCAAGCCTGGGCCGATCCTGTGTTTCTAGTTCTTCCCGGGACCATGTTTTTTTCCACGAGAAATCCACCAGAGGGAGGAGGAGGAGAAAGGGAGGGCTGTTATGCACAGGCAGATAAAGATGTTCTAGGCCTGGGGTTTTCAAGCTTCTGGGACTCTTTTTACTTGCTGTCTAGTATAGCACCTCATGTCTATCCAACAGATACGAACTGGGATGCTTTGGGAAACGGAGGGCCAGAGCTCCTCTTGCCAGCCCCTCCCTTGCCCCCCCAGATTCAGGAGGTTAGGAGAATCTCTGTGGCCCTGGACAAGCCACATCATTTCTCTGCACCTCAGTTTCTTTATCTGTAAAATGGGGATAATGCAGCCTCCTCACTGGGCTACCTGGGGATTATGTAAACCTGCGAGAAAGTGTATACTGCAAACCCCTCATTAAAATAAGCCATCGTAAATAGTATCTGTGTGACCTTGGGCGAGTTACCTCGCCTCTCTGAGCCTCAGTTTCTCCACCTATCAAGACGAGGGAGTGGGCTGGAAGCAGGAAGGATTGCCCCAAATGGTCCTCAACATCCCTTCCAGCATTAGTTTTCTTTGATTGTATTGTTTCGGTTTTGCTTCCCTGCCAGAGGAATTAGAAGAAAACCCCGTGTCAGAGTTGGGACCAGCAGCCCTATTGCTCCGTCTTATAGAAGAAGAAAGGAAGCACCAGAGGACTTGCCCTCGTAGCAAGTGGCAGAGTCGGCAGGAGGAAAAGCCAAATACCGGGAAGGGCCCTGAAAGTACAGTTCTCAAGCTATTAAATACACGATTCCTACAGAAACATCTAGTGAGTACACGCCAATTTTTTGGTAGCTTATTAATGAAGGAACCAGCAGGATGACAAAGCTAGTTCGAGTGAAGACTCTCAGAATAAACATACATGAACCCACGTTATGGAGAGAAGAGAGAGAGTCAGGAAAAACAAACTGACAATAAATAAGAATTCTGGAACATTCATAAGGTGGCTAAGTTAGCACAGAACTGGTTCGTGTCCTGCAGGGCAATAAAATCATAGTGTTGGGGTTATCTTCTCTATTAAAAAGAAGTCATTTGGATCTCTACCAGACAAAAATGATCTGCAACTTATCAGTTTTCCGCCAGCTAACAGCTGTCTTTCGAGAACCCAAGCCCTGATCAATAGTAAACAATAAGTCAAGCAAAGGGACACTCCCCTCGAGTGTCAGAGGACCCTTAGGAGGACTTGTCAGACATTGCACTCATTTGACTTTGAAAGGACACCAGTTATCTGTCTGCCTTATTGCCAAGTGTGGAAGGGTTTTACTTATCAGACTGTTGCAAGAGCCTAAATGCTTCGGAGGAATAAGAAGCATCGACAGTAATGAACGTATCATTAGTGTGAAAAGTGAACGGGTCGGTGATGGCCCGTGAAAGTCACAACAGGGGCATGTCCAGTCAGAGGGGACAGGCCACTTCTCCGGAGCTCAGTCCAGTGGAGGCGAGGTGGGGATGGCCGGGTGAGAGGAAGCCCCTTGCATCACTGCGTGCGAATCCATGAGGTCCAGCCCCAGGGTGTGGCCAGGGGCCTAAGGAATAGCCCCCCCCCAAAAAAAAAAATCTATAAATCATTCAAATTCTTCATAGTGGAGTCACAGCTCGTTCAAGGGCTAGGTTCCAAAGTCAGCATATCAGGCAAAAATTGGAAGTGGTCAATGTCGCTGTTAGGAAAACAAAGTCTGAGGAACACGCCATGTAGGGAACCACGGGTTTTCACGGCAGCTCACTGCTGCCACTTTTGGCTCTGACATCAGAACAGATTTCTCTCTTCTTAGTTGAGTTTCACTTGGCTAACATATGTGCCCTTTTGGGAAAAAAAGAAAGAAAAACAAAGGAAGACATTGAACCCTTAAAGATTGGAGTCCTACCCAGCAGGGAGGCAGGTCTCCTCCTTCCTTCCCGTTCACTGCAGACACGGGCTCCTGGAGGGGTCTCGGTGACGGCGGCATCCGCTGCCGATTTTCAACCAGTATCTTTCGCTCTTTCTCTCTCTCTGAATCTTATTAGGCAAAAGGCAGATAGTCAAATGTGTATGGAATGTAACTCTGAATTTCTTGTATTTTTTAATTAAAAAGTTGAGATTTAATTTACATGCAATAAAATGCGCAAGCCTTGAGTGCCCAGCTCAGCGGCATTGCATGTGTGTGAATTCCTCGTTTGCCACCACCCAGCCTGAGAGGACATTTCCGTCGCCCCAGTGGGTTGCCTTGGGTCCCTTAAATCACCCCCACACCCCCCAAGGTGCCAGTGCGTTCCGACTTCTGCCACCATCAGTTACTTCTGGCTGTTCTTGAGCTCCATGTAAGTAGAATAATCCAATCTGTGTCTTTTGTGTCCAGCTTCTCATGCTTGTGAGAGTCAGCTGTCTTGTCATGCGTATTGGTTCAGTTTTCATGGCTGAGTAGTATTCCACTGTGTTTCTATGGCTCCCTTCGGTCAGCCCTCCTCCTGAGGACATTTTGGGTCCTGATGGATAAAGCTGCCAAGAGCACCCCTGCCCGAGTCCTCCCCCAGGTGCCACTCCGTGAACACGCGTGCTCCGGCCTCTGCTGTGCGTTTGAACACCAACGAGAGGCACAGGGTTTATGCCGATGCCCTTCCTCTCCCCTCCGCTGCCCCACAAAACAACAAAACCCTCCTGCACCCTCTGCCTGAACCCCTTTTTCTCCTTCTCACTCCTTTTCCCCCTTCTCCCCGTTCTTTACCAAGAGGATTGTCTTGGTTTTGTCCTTGTGGCAAAAGCCTTTCCCTCTGGGGGCCTCCTGGGTCTCTCCTTCTATTCTCAGGCTCTGCTGGGAGGGGCTGTTTGGGAAAAGGGGAGGGAGCTGGCCCAGCCGCCACACACCTTCAGTGAGCTGTCTTTATCCTTTGCATCTCTCTCGGCAGATGAAAGCAGTTTTCAGGGAGCGTTTTATGAGAGACAGAGGAAAATGCAAACAGCGAATGCCAATGCCATGTTAAGGAGATAGAGGCAGCGTGAGGATGACAATGACCCTTTGAATTGAGGCCAGGTTTCAGATCCACATGGTTTGTCTCTGACACATGGCAGCAAAGGTCCCATCTCCTCCTTCCTCCCCCCCTGCCACTCAGCGGGCCAGGGCTCAGAGACCAGTTGAGAAAGCCTCCTCCACCCCTCCCCCGAGGCCCCAGCGGGAGACCAGCATCCTGGCTGCCGCCAAGCCTGCCGGGGCCAGGTGGAGCAGCCCCAGGAGAAGTTCCCAACACCAGATCTATCAGGAAAGGTGCTAATGGAAGCCACCAGGGGTGCAGGCAGGTGAGACCTAAAAAGATTAAGAGGATTAGAGAGTTTGGAAAACAAACAGCCTGCTGCAAGAGCCAGCAAGGACCAGTGCCTCTCTCTGCCTTGTGGGGGCCAGGCTCTAGATCCTGGGGGCTTTTTAGACCCCACAGTTAGGGACGGTGGCACCCAGAGTCCAGGATAATACTAGTTCACACAGATCCGAGGGTCAGCTGTAGGCATGGGTGAGTGGCCAGGAGAAAGCTCCCCATGCGGAAATGATTTCCTTCACCTGCCCATCACCTGCCTGACACCCCACCCTTACCCACTGTTCCCATGGGGTGAGCATGGCCTTCTCTAGGACGTTTGAACATTGAAGATGTGTCTTGGTACATTTGCAGGATGTGGCTGGGTGCTACTTAGTGCACGCTACTGCTAGGCTTGGTACTGGTGCTTAACGCAGGATCTCGTTCCACCATTGCAGCCTCAGGAAGGGAGTGCTGTGGCCCATAAGCTCCTTTTACAGAGGCAGCTGCTGCTCAGAGAGGGTCATCGGCTTATATAAGGTCACACAGCCAGTAAATAGTAGCATTATTTCCAGCACATCAGGTACCTTTCTGAAGATGTTCACTGTTATCCTACATGCAGAGGGCCTACACCAGGAACTCTGAAAGGGAGAGGAAAACAGAGAAGGTAAAAGCACTGGGAATTGGATTCTGGAGGCAAGTTTGCCAGCTTCACACACTTACCTCCCCCCCGTGCCAGCCACTTAACATCCATCACCTCACTTAATTTACATAGCATCCGTACAGGGTGGTGTTTGGGTTTATTTCCAAAGATGAAGGAGGGAGCTGAGTCTCAAAAAAAGGAAGTGACTTGCTCATGGGTTTGGGGTTGCCAGATTTAACAAATACAACTATAAAATGCTTCATTCCATTTGAATTTCAGGTCAACAAGGGTATGCATCGAATATATTTATATTTGGAAAAAAGGTCCATTCCACATTTTATCTGGCAACCTACAGAGGTCACACAGCCTGTGAGCAAGTGGCTACTTCCTACCCTCTGGCTCATCTGGAAGCCCATCTTGGTAGGAAGAGGCAGGCTGACGGGGATGCTCCTCTCGGCTTCCCAGGGGAACACGGTCATGGTCACTGTTCCCGGGCTGCCCTCTAGTGTCTCTCCCTGCCCCAGAATTTCATCAGGGGAGGCCACTGTGGGCTGGAGGCAGGGGACTTGGGTTCACCTCTCAGCTCTGCTGTGTGTCCCCGGACATCACTCAGAGACTCTGGTGCAGCAGCAGGAGCGCAGGTCAGCCTGTGGGCCACCCCATCTGTAAAAAAAGGGGAGGAGATGAAACAGAACAGTGGTCAGAGTCACCTGGGGGAGCTGCTTAGAAGTACCATACATAGCCTTTGGCCCTGGCCGGGTAGCTCGGCTGGATGGGGCATCTTCCCCCTGCACCAAGGTTGTGGATTTGATCCCTGGTCGGGGCACATACAAGAAGCAACTAATGAATGTGTCAGTAAGAGGAACAACAGATCAATGTTTCTCTCTCATCTCCCTCTCTCTCTGAAATCGATAAATAAAGTTAAGAAAAAAAATACCACAACCTGACCTGCACTCCGACCTACTGCACCAGAATCTCTGTGGCGGGCCTTTTGTGTTTTTCACAGAAGCCCCAGGGGAGTGGAGGCAGGTGTCCTGGTACCTCTATGGAGCTCTGACAGCTACAGAGGGTCTTTCCAGAGTTGACACATTGGCCAAGCCTGCCCTGCACCTTTGGATGTAACCCCGAAGCATCTGACAACAGGGGAGCAGGTGCCAAAGGGTTCCAATGCCTGGACGCAGGAGGACAGCGGTGGGGCAAGTCCAGTCTTGTTGGTCAGGCAGCAGGGAAGGATGGTCACTAAATCTCCCCTGGGGCGAAGACCATTTCCAACCTGGGAATTCAGAGATGTTTCTTCAGTCTGAGTAGAGATTGTGTTTGTTACAGCCCCCACCTGGCTCACGTGATTCCCGGCAAGGAGACCCGAGAAGCTATTTGCGTCATCCCCAGGGCACTGACAGGGAGATGGAGGCTCAGAGAGGGCAGTCGGTTCCAGCACCACACAGCAGAGCCGGTCCAGTTCCCAGTCTGCTGGGACCAGGACTCCGCCCCCCAGCCCCGCCCTGGGGTGTCCTAGAAGGTGTCCCGGATAGACCTCAGTCAACCTCCGAAGTCCCAGCCCCGTCCCTCCTAGGCTCCTGCGCCCCGGTTCTCCTGTCTTCATCGTGACGTTCTGAGCCTCCAGTTCTGCCCAATCCGGCCAGCAACTCACTGCAGGCAGTGGTCCTACACTCCCCTAACCTCGGGTCCAGTCTCCCCTTCTCCTTCCCCTGGGCTGGGCGTGCCCCGGCCCCACGGCCGCCAGGGCAGGGCCGGGATTTGGGTCGGGTCTGTGGCGCTCCAGCTCGCTCTCATCTTCTGCCCGCGGAGCTACTCCAGGCTTCGGCTAAGGACAGCTGCTTCTGCCTGGTCCCCCCCCCCCCCCCCCCCGCTCCTCCCAGCCCTCTGCTGATTACAAATAAACACCCGCTCTACGCGGGAGAGTAATTAACTCTCCAATGTGGGGAGAACTAATCAGGCTGGAGTTTGCTGCAGGTGGGAAAAGCAAAGGCTGTCCTAAGTAGTATGCAAATGACACCGTAGTATGCAAATCAATCCCTGGCGGGCTCCTGGAAAAGGCTGTCAGAGCGGCAACACGGCTGCCAGGGAGGGCCAGGCTCTGGGAATGGTGGTCCTGACTGCGGGGGCCCGTCCTTCAAGATTAGGGGGCTGCAGGGGTCGTAGGAGTGGGGAGCTCACCTGCTGGGTCCCCCAGAACATCTGCAGTCCTTGTGTCCGGCGCACTGGGGGAGGTGGAGAGACAGGCTGAGGGCTCTGGGAGAACTGGCTTTGAATCTGAACACCGCGGGTCCTTACCTATGTGACCTTGGAGAGTCAACGCGGTCTGGCATTCAGAAGGTGTTCGGTTACTGGGGCCTCTTACTAGAAAGCATCAAGATATACCCATAGCGCCCCCTGTGGGCCACGTGCTCCCCAGTCAAAGCCCAACCCCCTGGGGCTCACCCTCACCAATCTGCCTTTCTGGTGATGTGATTGGTGATTGAAAGTCTTCAGGAGTGTCCCTCCTGCTCTCAGGCACGTTCTCCTTCTGCTATGCTTGGAATTCTGGACCAGGACTAGGGGGAGGAGAGCGAGGCTCCCAGGGAGCAAAATTTAAGGAGGCACACACTTGCATGCCTGTGAAAGTGCAGAATCAACCCTGGGAGTGAGCGCCATCTTAAAAGTTTGCAGGGCCTGGGCAGCTCATTCACTTCATCCTGGTTCAGGCCCTACTCACAAAATACCCGGGGTTATTTATTCAAGAAATACATAGCACTTGCTCAGAGAATCTTGGCCACATTAACGGGAAGGATGAGTCTAAAGAGGGAGCATGAGTTCAGAGTCAGCAGGTGCTTCTGGAGACTTGGAGTAAAGGCCCAGGGAAAACAGGGCAAATGGCCCCTGGCCCAGCTACTTCCTCCCCTGGGAAAAAGTCTTCCCAGCCCCCCTCTCCGGGGCCCCCCTCGATTTCTCCAGTCTCTGGACTCTAGGCAGATAGGCAGTTTCCGGGAGCCCTGGGGTGGATGTTGGCACACAGTGGGTTAGGGGCTGGTGGACTGAGCACCCCTCCCCTACGTTCTCACCATCTCCTGCAGGAATGGATGCTGGGGGGGGGGCGTTTCTGGAGGCCGACCTGATCTGTCAGGGAGGGGAGGAAGTGGAGTCTCATGGGCCAGCTTCTGGGGCCAGCCTGGGGTGCGGTTCCAAGCTGCTGTGAGAGCCAGGCCGGGGCACTCGTTCCTGGAGACCAGGCGCTAGCCCTGGCTGGTGCTGCCTCGGTCTCCTCCCTTCCTCCTCAGGTGTCAGCACCTTCATCTCCAACAGGCACTCTCCTGCCTGCTTTGTGGGGATCTGGGAAGACTCCATGGATGTTGCTCCTGTAGGAGTGTCCCCAAAGCCAGGCAGATCTAAGGGCACCAAAGTCCCGTTAGTGGGTGGTCTGCTTAGGGTCCCCCATAGACATCCAGCGAGAGGCAGAACCAGGCCCTGAACTTAAAGATGTTTATGGAGCAGGCAGAGGGCTAGCTGGAAACCCTCTGCTCCCCCTGCAGCTGGAACGCTGGCCTTGAGCCGTGTCCCTATCTCAGAGCATCAGTTTCCCTGTTGCCAATGGCAGTTACCATGCTCGGGGCAGGCAGGGTCTTAAAAAATTATTATTATATCTAAATGTTCACAACTTCTGTTCAGGGTAGCTGTATCATTGCTACTTTACAGATGACGGAGAGAGCTCTAGAAGTATGTCCCTCTTCCAAAGAGGCTCATACTTCGACGCTTTGCTCCCTTGCGCAAAGAGACTCAGGGAGCAGAGCTTCAAACGGGGCTTTAGCATGTGTCTGTGTGCCCTTGAGCAAGCATCTTTGCCTCTCTGAGCTTCGGTTTGCACATCCGTAAAATGGGCAAGCGCTAAAACAGTGGTAGGCAGTAACAGTCCTGGGAGACCTGGCTGAGGCTTGACCCAGGGGCCACCCTGCTTGCACACCTGGCCGCCTCCATCACTCAAAGGGTGGGACTGGGTGATGTCCGAGAGCAGCCTGGCTCAGACAATCCAGGTCTTCATCCAACCCTCCGGATTCCTCAAAGGCCCGTGCCTGATTTCCTTTGGTCTGCTGCCTGATTTTAATCAGAACCTAGGGATGGTTTTGATGACAGTGGGGTCCCCACTCTCCTGCTCTGTTCCCCAGAGCCCAAGTGTGTGTGGGGTCTTCCGTGGCCAGGAGGTGGTCGTGCCTTCCTAGGACTTTCAGCGTCTGGGAAGGGCAAACAGGGGGTGCCGTCCAGAGCAGCCTCCCGTAGCTTCTCAGCAGGAGGGAGTGGCCAGGTTATTTCGTGATAAAAGTTTAATAAATTGAAAGGCATGGTTTTCATTCTGTGGGTAATTAGCTGCCGCTGCTGTGCTCCCTCCTAATTGTCTCCCTCACACCAGACGGGCGCAGATCAATGGGAAGCAGCCGCTGTGCGGTGAAAGTCACAATTAATTAATTGTCGGACACGTGTGTGTCTCCATCTCTGTCACATCAAAGGCCCGAGGGTGGCAGCTGCCCACGATTCTGGCTCTGCTGGGCTGGCCCGGCCCAGGACGCACGGATGCACATGACCGACCGCCGTGCTTGCTTGCGGCCTCTCCCTCAGACAGTGGGAGGCTCCTGGGGAAGGGGTCCCTGGAGACCCCGGGCTCGGGCACCTCCCCTGGCAGCCCGCCTTCTCCTGCTTCCTCACCCCAAAGGCAACCTGCGCTAGATACCTGTCCCCGGTCCCCCTGCCTCGCCCTTGTGGTTCCGGTCCATTCTCATCCCTGCAGTCGAACCCCCCCGCCCCAGCTTTTCTAGGTTAAAATTTCGCCTGTCTTTAGAATAGTGGTTACTTCTGGTGAGGGGCGGGGGAGGTGTGGACTGAGAGAGAGATCACTCCGGGATGCTGGGAAGGCTCTACATTTTTATCTGGGTGGTGGCTTCAAGGATGTACTCATATACCTATATTCTAGGCCATTCCGGGGTCCAGTGCAGATTAGCACAAACAGCTCAACACACACCCAGACCAACGCCCTGCCCCGGTCAGTAACAGCAGCATGCGTTTATGTGTTACTGGGATGTTAGGATGATGAGGCTCACATCATCCTAACGTCCCAGGATTAAAGCATGCCTTTCCTAATTCTCCCCACTGGCCTTGGAGACAGGTAGCATTATTCCCATTTTACAGATGGGGAAATGGAGGAGCAGAAAAGGGTTGGGAAGGAGCTAAGGAGAGGAGAGGGAAGAAGAGGATGGAGGGAGAAGGGTTGGGGAGGGACCCGTGTACATTGGGGGCTCCACGTACCCCCACCTCTCCAGGAGGGCAGAGCCACAGTCCCATTTTACTGCTGAGACTCCCTCCGAGAGGTGGGGTCCCTTGTCTGAAGTCACATGGCTCATTCCAATGTCGTCCTTCTGAGGGAGAGAATCGGAGGAAGGGGAGGGAGAACAGGGAGGGGTGAGGGGCCTGAGCCAGGAGGTGTGGGCACAGAGGTGGGGGCACGAGGGCATGCGGGTGGGCCCACACAAAGGTGCACATGGGCACCGCACCTGCGCCCTCCACCGCTTTGCTTTACTCCTCTCTTCCCGGGGGGAGCTTCCTGCAGCCGCTCTGGGGCCAGCTTTTCCTCATCTGTGAAGGCGGGAGGAACCATGTGACCCGAAGGTTTGCTGGGGCCACACTGCTCGGCAAGGGCCTGGGCCTTCCCTCCTCCCTCTCAGCTGGCCAGAGCCATGCTGGGCTCCCTGCCCCCCCGGGCCTCGGCCCAAGGCCCAAAGCTCTGCTGGTGAAGCGTGGAGTTAGGAAGGGTCAGGCCTGGCTGTCTCGGCCTGTGGGCTGGCGCTCTGTTCTCACTCCTCCTCACCCCCCCACGCGGGTCCATCCAGCCTCCTGCAGCTCAGGGGTTGACAAATATTGTAAGAGCTTCCTCGCAGGCGGCGAGAGGCGGTGCCTGTCCTGCCGGCGGCTCTTTCTCTGTGAGAGCACAGCAGCCAGTCCAGCCTCCCGCCCAGGGCTGGTCGTCAGGGGAGGCCACCTCTGTGCTCCCACCACCGTTACCGCCTGTCATCGCACCTTTGAAGTGCTGCCTGATTTTCCAGTCTGTCTGAAGTCACTTGCTGTTTATGCAGCAGCTGGTCCGGCAAATCCCCCTGCTGGTCCTTTCCATGACGGTGCCAGCCGCCAGGGACCGAGGGAGACAGCCACTGAGCCTCTCCGGAGGGTAGCAAGAGGAAGCTGAGATGCCATTTCTGTCTTTAGGGTCTTCTAGACTTAGTTTGCTTATTTTTTTGTTTAAAAGAAAAAAAAAGTTTCCAAGACCCCCAGTGGTCTATTTTCTTCAAAGAAACAGGAATAAAGATTAAAATAAAAAATAAGGGCCAAAGGTAAAGCTTTTAAAGTCTTTGAACATTTTTAGTGCTGTGGCAGCCGCGTGGGAAGGTGCTAGGCTGGGAATCCTTTCATGGAAGCTAATGTGCCATGTGACCTTGCACAAGTCACTTCTCTCTGGTCCTCAGATCTCCAATGAGGGTCCGACCGGGTCTGCTCCACTCCGCATTTGGGGACCTTCTCGAGCTGTTTGTTTCTTCTGAGACTCATTGCCACAGGCCACCTCCTCGTTCTGAATATGAAAATCCTCCTGAACCCAGGGAATCAGGGAGAGAGGCAGGGGTTGCCCCTGGACTGCGGAAGGGCAGGACGGTCCCTCTCAGACAAGGGACAGTGGGGTTAAGCGACTTGCCCAGGGTCACACAGCGAGGGAGTCTGTGGTGGAAGCAGGATTAAATCTCTGTCTTCAGCTCCCCAGCCAGCGGCTTTTTCTCCTTCCTCGTTAAGCTGCAGGAGGATGTTCTCAGCGAGTAGGGACCACATTTAAATATGTCTCATTTATGTGACATATTTTCAGCTGAGGCTCTTGAAAGTGAAGTTTAAGGGTCAGTGCTCTAAGGTCAAGCAGAACTTGGCCCTGCATCTGCCATGCTGTTTGTGCGATGTCAGGCAATCAATGGCACGTCCCTGAACCTCAGTTTTCCCAACTGTAAAATGGGGCCGTTCCTTGTACCTCCTCCCTGCATAGCTGTGAGGGTGGTGGATAGGATGCCCATGAAGCTCTCAGAGTGGAGCCCTCCCAGAGTGCTGGCTGGAGCCGCACTGTCTTCTTCAACAAACTCTCGGAGAAGGAGGGCACCCTGGGCCAGTCTCTCGGGCCTGGCTGTCACATCTGTCTTTCATGCCGCAGCCCCTCCCACCAGAGCTTCTTCCTGGGAGACAGGCAGCCCATGGCAGGCTGTGCAGGAAATGTCAACCT